ACCCCGCCCTTCTATCATGCCGTGCCATCTTGTATACTTGTACCCCCCATTATATTAATTATTGTATAAATTATTACAGATTGTAGATATTATATTCTTGTTTTCTAATAAAAATGCTTGTAAAAAAAAGTCATTGTTGCCTATCTTCAATGTTATTTTAACTGTTAGGTATAACAACTTATGAGAAACCACCTTGTATTTCATTTTCAAGCTTTTTGACTCCGCAAACATTAATTATCGATCGATTCTATTATGATATGGTGATTATTATAATTTATAAAAGAATATTTTCAAAATGTCTGAATGCCGAATTTCCATTGTGTGCATATTATTGGGGTAATACATTTTTTCTTTCAACTTTGAATTCAGAATTGTACAACCGTAACAATGAATACCGATTAAAAACGAAAATAATTCAGTGCAATTCGACATTGAATATATTTTTATAAATAATATGCAAACCATCCATGATCAACACTTTCTAAATCAAAAAGGTTTTTATAAGTCTTTAAAAAAAAAAAAATTGAAATTCATGAGGCACACGGTAAAGTGCATTTGTTCCCAATTTCCTTCCGTCTTTGGGCGCAATTACATTTGTCCGGTAAATCACTTCATCACTATACAATTTCATACAAATATAAGTTTAAATATGATTTGAATAAGTATAAAACATATGTATTTTTAATAGTGGGATGTCCGGCGAACCCTGACTTAAGTACACTGTTTATAATTCCTATAATGAGTATAATCCGATAACTACATAGGTAACTCGTTAGGTAACTGTTAAAATTTTAACAGATAATACATTATTATTTTTAATTTTTAAACAAAGTACATACCTATTATAGGTTTAGTACCTAATTATTTCAGTAATCATAACATTACTGTGCAGGTAACTTTGCTAAAAACAGACAATAATACAGTATATAAATACATATTTTCCTTACATAGGTATGCATTCCATTAAACGTCAACACACACAAGTATATTATAATATTTTACTAGGTATACTGTTAACATTAATTATCTAGAAAAAAATTAATGTTTTTGGAAACATTATTTTTATTTTCAACTTCAATGAAACTTTTCTATTGGTAACGTAAACATTACTTTTTATTGACTAGTTTTCTTTACGCCTCACCACCGCATCTTAATATGAGTCCTACTATTATAGGCGTATAGGACTAAGGTTATAAGTTATAGTTATAACCCATTACGGCCATCCCCTCATCTAGTAAATTGTATATTATCAGCACGATGTAGAGAAGATAATATATTAATATCTTCTCTACATCGTGTTATCTGTAACGAATTGGCCACTCTCAAATCTCTATACTTAAGGAGACGTTACAGTGGCATTTGTTGTTTCCGTCTTACAAGTTCAAGCATAACATAGCAAATTTGAAATTTTACTCTCAGAAGAACACGTTTATCTCCGTAAGTTTAAAAATTAGAGTGAATTAACCTCTTATAAAATTTAAAGCTGGGATTATTATCTAGACAATCACATAGGTTTTTTTTATTATGTTTTAATTTTAAAGCGAGTTATGTGAATTTTAAGATGTACAAAAAGCTTACAATTTTAAAATACACATAACTCGCTTTAAAATTAAAACATAATAAAAAAATCTATGTCATTGTCTAGATAATAATCTCAGCTTCAAATTTTATAAGAGGTCAATTCGCTCTAATTTTTAAACTAACGGAGATAAACGTGTTCTTCTGAGAGTAAAATTTGCTATGTTATGCACTTGTAAGTCGGAGACAAAAAATACCACTGTAACGTCCCCTTAACGGAATTTTATAATCAAACATTTTGCATTGAACAGTACGATTTATTATCTGCGTTTTATTGCGTTATACTAATTTCCAATGACGAATGTACTTTTTTTTTATCTACAATAATGTGGTTCATTGACCACCACCCACGTTCAGTAGGGCAAATAATCTTCTCGAAGAATACATAATCATTATAGTATGTATCCATATAATTAAAATTAAAAATGTATAAATTATTATTAAGAAGGTGGGCAGGTGGGTGTCGTTCTGCTGTACAGAGGGTTACAAGTGGGTCACTTTAATGGATGTGGTTAAATTTGAATTCAATGATGTGGGTAATATAATTGTATAAGAAAAACGATTCTGAGTGAAAACGGTCAGTCAGCGGTCGGCCTATGATATTACAAATTATATTATGATGATATTATTGTGAATAAAGTAATTCATAGGTATATAACCTATAACCTATTTACGTGAAACCTTTTTTTAAATTTTCAATCCTTAGTTATAAAAGTTGAACATTTTATAAATTTTTAACTACAAAATAATTATTAAATTTTGTCAAAATTCGATCTTTAAATGCTTAAAAAAAAATTGTGCCTATGTATTTTTAATATTTTTCAACTGATATTGTAACAATATATCAGGAGCCTTGTATCAAATTTTTACACTTTTTGGCCCAACAGATAAAACTTTATTGATATTTATAGAAAAAAAAAACAAAAAAAATTTAAAACTGAAAATGTCCGTAAACAGCTCAAAAAGAGTCAAAATATTTTCAAAATTGTAAGGTGTATAGGAAATGCTAATATTAACATTCAGCGAAATTTTCATGTACAGTTAGGTATTCGTTTTTGATTTACAACAATATAAGGAAATCGGTACATGAGAAATGGAGTGAATATCCAATGCTGTAAAAATTTAATTTGACTTTCTTATAGACATTTTTTTTTTTATAAAGGTAGATAATCTTATAAGGAATCTTGTATTACATTTCAAAATCTTGGATTTAAAAAAAAATTTTTTTATGAATTCACAACTCAAAATAATTTGTTAATTTTCCTGATTTTTCCGTATTTTGTCAAGATTTGAATTTTGAACTTTAAATGCTTATAAAAATACACTATGACAAAGGATTTTTAATATTTTTGAAATTTCATTGTAACAATATAGTAGGAGCCTTTTATTAAATTGTCAAGCTTTTTTACCCAACAAATAAAGTTTTATTGACATTCAATAGATTCTTTATTTCTAATAAAAATAAAATAAAAAAAAACTGTGACTAAGGATTTTTAATATTTTTCATCTGCCTTTGAAACAATATACTAAGAGCCTTCTATTAAATTTTGAAACTTTTTTAACATTTAAAACAGCAACAGCGATAAATAATAAAGAAATAAAACGTATAGGGAGTATCTTATGTTATCATTGTTTTTTAACGATTATGGAACGATTATGATATGGAATTTCGTTAAAACGAAAAAAGACGTGTTTCTTTATTTTTAACAGGCAATTTTTTTATAACAATTTCAAAATTTTTAAACATGCGTTAGTACCAATTATTTAAATTAAAAGTATTAATACATATTTTACTAATCTTTAGAGGACCATAGTTCATAAACTAGAGAGCCAAAATTGACGATTCGACTATCAAAGTTTTCAGAAAAAAAAGCGATAATCCATTAAAAAATATAGTGGTTACCGTTTGAAAAAATAAAGTTGATTTCGCTATTGGCACACCTGTGCTTAAAAATTTTTAAATTGTTATAAAAAATTGCCTGTTAAAAATAAAGAAACTTTTTTCGTTTCAATGAAATTCCATGTCATCGTTCCATAATCGTTAAAAAAAACCCGCGTACAATGACATAAGATACACCCTGTATATGTATGCAACCTATATATTATTTTAATGACAGCACGTAAACATCAAAATATTTTGAATCTAATTTCCTCGAAACACTTATTTACCACCTCTACAATAGTTCCTCAATTATATTAATAATATATTCTGATATTCTGCAAATATCCTTGTATAGAACACATCTGTGTTTTTTAAGAAAAACCTGAAGCAAGGTTAATATAAATATACACCTATATATATATAAATTATGCTAAATATATTATAATAAATATTATGTTTATTGTAAAAAATATAATGGACGACGGCTACCTAATGCCAATATTTAAATGTAATGTGAACTTGAAAATAATATAAAACGTCTATCTGGTAAGTGGTAACCCACTCATTAGTTATTTGAATATGATGATTATTTGAAAGTAGGTAGGTATAGTGTGAGCTACCTATATTTAGATATCATAAAAATGATAAAATAGAAAAGCAATATAAACTGTATACATCATTTTCTACAAATCAGTGAATTTGTTTGAATAATGAAATGTTTAAATGTTAAATAGGTAGGTAGGTATCCCACCGGCCACATACCTACTTGAATCTAACTAATTTCTTCGTTTGTTACGTGTGTGAGTGATTGAAAGTATACCTATAATAAATTAATAACAACACGTATAGGTACCACCACTAACACGTTTAACAACATGCTACGTCATAATAAATACTATACACATTATACAGTAGTACTACTAATACTACTACTACAGTACACACTACACAGTGCATAGACTCGACGTACATGCAGACGTGCAGTATAATGTGGTATAATCAATGATAAAATATAATAATATATTAATACCTATTAGCTAATGTATATAATATTTTAATGCATATTTTTAAATGTTTAATAATCGATCTGATAATTTACAGTGGCGTCAGGTGGGCAAAAACCGGTACAATATACACTGATCGTGTACACAATAATATAATATATATAGTACCTGTAATTATAGACATAGGTGATAGGTAGCCGAAGCCGCCCAACTGCTCAATTCGACAAGAGAGCCATCGACGATCAACCATCGTGCCCAGACGCCCGGTGCGGCAGAGCTCATGACTAGTCATGGCAGTGCTTGAATAGCAGTCATGCCGACTGGCTGTGTGCGTGTGCATCGATGAGTTTAATATTATAATATACAATTTACGTTTACGCATACATCGATCAATCTTTACAATCCGTCGAACAAAATACAAAACGTTTTATAACTTTTGAGTGCATTTTGACTGTTTGTAGTATATAATATATATATATACCTACATTGTACCTACACTATATGTGAATTTACGTGGATGTGAAAACCCTGACAAAATGACCGAATGGCCGTGGCTGATGATTATACTGGCTTTCATTAGCACGGTAATGAAATATTTTTATACGAATAACATTAATTATTTACTGGTTTCGTTATTGTTTCAACGATTTTACCATTGTGTTTGTAATGCGTCAAAATATTATAATATTATTAATTTAGGGACTCAATATTAAATAAGTAGGTACTCACTACTTGGAGCAAACCGACAGTTAAAAGATTACTGAATTATTGTTATTTGATGTTATAGATTTGGTATCATAGATTTATTTTACATACCTAATATAATATAGTAAGTTTAAGTATATGCTATTAATTATTATGATTTCGATAAGTATAATACTATAATATATAGTACCAAACATAATTATTGTTATAAATTAATAATATAATATACCTATTCTGTTTAATTTATACCCACATTTAAACTATTATAAGTAGCTAGGTACTAACATAATACAATTTTATTGACATAAGTACCTACCTAATTGCCAATTGGTATTTAAATGTATGACCTATCTTCGTACCTAGTTCGTTAGTGATTGAAACAAATATTTAAATCTGGACAAAATATAAATCTAGCTTGATGTGCTAATATCCAATACGTAGTAAATAATAATCGTATATAGTAGGTACCTAACTTTTTACTACCTACGTGATCAAATTATAGAACATGACAAAAATTGAAAAATATATCTATCTTTATAATATTTTTATTTGTTAGAACCAAATTATAGACATGGCGTGTTGCGTGTAGGTATTGTGTATGTTTAATCTATAATGTTTATAGAATACTAATTAAAAACTATTGTACAGACGCATTTTTATATCTTATAAAATATTATGATAACATGTTACCTAGGTTTATGTTTATTAGTTATTAACCGATCGACTTATTACACTCGTAATTTATGATATATATTTATAAAAGAAACTTGACAATTAGAAAGTACCTATATATTATTAAGCACGCAATAATAGTTTAAACTGCATACACGAAGTACCTACTGACGAGTGACGACCTACCCTGTTTATTATTTAGTATTTACCTACCCTATATTTTTGAGTTGAATCGTGTGGCTACAGGGAGGAATTTTGCCCTAGCTGGGTTATCCTTCCGTCAGTATTTACCTACCTATCTAATACCAAATACAATAATTGGAAGGTAGGCAGTATAGAACATACTAAAATATAACAATATTCGATAGTTTATCGGTAGATAGGTTTTTAAATGAATATACAATATACATAATAGGTACAATCTGTAATAGTGGGTATTAGGTATTCATTATATGAGATTAAAAAACATAAACTTTTTACATTCATACTAATTTTCAGCAATATTTTAATAGGCACGGTCATAATTCAAAGGTTTTGAGATTAATACTAAATGCAGTAAAATGTAATAAATAAAAATTAAAGTATAATATATTTTCATATTAATTATGCTCTTTGCAGGTACCTAAACAATTCAACACATATTTATTTTTTGTACATATTTTAATATAGGTTTATAGTTTTGCATCAAAACTTATTTAATACGTAGGTTATTATAACTTATAAGATATTTTGTAAAAAATTCCTATATACATTCGCACGTATGGGTTAACTAACAATATGCCTATTTTGTATATATATATTATATACAATATACCATATACCTTATAATATATACCTATATTAAAGTAGGTACTACAACGCCTGATGAAAAATCTTAGTACATTATTATATTGGTTATATAGTATAACCATTATACTAATTAATCTAATTAATCATTACTCATTTTACTGAAAATATCTTTGGAATGCAATTGAATAACTACTCAAAACAAAATGATAAAAGCTATGTGACATGTAATGTTCCTAAATTAGAAACTCAGAATGTATTTGACACTGACATAATACACTAGATTTTTAGTTAAACGCAGACAAAAATTGTTACCTATATTTTTTTATTAAGTAAAATAACAATTAATAAACAACTTTACAATATTTATTTTATTCAGTTACTTTAATCGACTTTTACTTTTACAATTTGAATAATTATGTATTAAAATAATAAGGTAAGATTCTCAAAAATAGATAATAAGTAATGATTAAATTACAAATGCACAAGGTCATCAGAGCCTCAACCTAAACTATACTTTTTATTTGTGTTATGTTTTAGCTGCAAAAGATAAACAAAAAAAATCATACTTTAAAAAGTCAAAGAGTTAAAAAATATTAAATAATCTAGAAACTAGATAGATACCCTTCAACAGTGAGGTCTCCATAATTATAGGCTTTAATATTTAATAGATACTCCTATAAAGACATAATATTCGAAGCTTAATTATACCACAGTATTGAGTAAATAAAATTTTTTTACATTGCATCAATAGTAACGTGAAATGGGCTAGTAATTAAGTCTACTTTCATATTTTATTTTTTATTAAGTAGTTAATTATTTTTGGAACAAATATTTACCTACATTTATCCTTAGTCATGAAGTGATCAAATATTTAATTAAATCCAAATTGTAGCCAATATAACTTACAAGAATTATATTCATAATAAATTAGGTAACTTTTTGGCGGTGTTCATTTACACTTTACAGGGCCTGAATATTAGTTTTAATGACCAATATTCAACGTTAATATTATAATAATTAAACTGATTAAAATAATCTCAACTAAAAGGTTAAAAAGGTTGATTTAATTTTTAGGTTCAATGGCCTACTTCAACAGCACAACAAACAAAAGACAATAATTCATACTGGGAAGGGTATTTAAGGTCTTCTGCAAGGAATAGGCCTAAAAGAACACGATTTTTTGATCAAGATACTACTGCAACTATGGCCAACACATCAAGTTATAAGGAGGATCAAAAGTAGGTTCATTGGTTATTCCTATACCTATGTAAGCTTCATAACTTAATATTATAATACAAATATATAAAATGTGACCAAAATCACGATTGACATTCACAAGTGTGAACATAAAAAAAGGTGAACATCAGCATTCATGTAACAATATAGAGTAACTGTATAAGTATCAGAAGAACCTTTTTTTTTTTTTTAAACAGGAACGGGTAGGAACTGTTTAGCACAATACTGTGTAAGAATGCAAAACACCGATTGTTTTTGTTTGATATATAGTGTTTTTTATTCTTGCATTTTGAAAAGAATTGTCAAATTTATTTAATTGTGTTACAATATATTCTTTTCATTTACACATGCTCTGTTGAGCTACAGATATTTTATTTCAGTTCAAATAATTAATTTATTCAGTTTTGTTTTACAGTATTTTCTTTTAACATACATATGCTCTGTCGAGCTACAGATATGGTTTTTATTTAAATGTGAGATGATAAATTACAATATTTAAAGACTCACGTGGACCGTGAAAGCAAGAGATAGAATACGTGTATGTTGTGTCCAATGGCAGCCTACTCTATCGGTGGTGCTGGATGACAACGATACAAAAATGTTCCCGGGCGGTGGCTTGACTCGTCCTCAGGTATAGGTACTGCACTCTCTTCGACTGGTTCCAACGTGGTTGATGATATTGATATGTATCACTTTGGTATCATGCGTTGGTTGTCGTGCGTACCGTCAATACGTCTGCGATACGTGAACGACGACAACAACAACGGTGATACGGCAACGGACTGATACGAGATCACAGCGGCGCGCTCGTAGTGGCGGCGGTGATAACAATACGACACGCGGCGTGATAACGGCGCTCGGCGTAGCGACGATCGTAACACGCGATGGGACGGTAAATCGAGTCTACCGGTCGTGGCGGCGCGCTCGTCGTGGCGGCGGCGGCAACGGGGACAAACAACGACTACTGCAACTGGGTACCGGGGGCTTGAACAGTACGTTTTGAGGCGTACCACCACCGATACCTAGCGAGAGTGTTGGGGGAATCTTCCTCTCCGTCTACTGTTAAGTGTGAGTGGCTTGAACAGTACGTTTTGAGGCGTACCACCACTCACACTGCGAGTATAGGGAGAGGGCTTTGCGGGAGAAGGCGGTTTGAAGTTACACACTAAGAAAGGCGGTAAGTTGAAACGGCGTGCGATTTGATGTGTTGAAACTGTAAAACTGGTGAACTGAGTGAGTTGAGTGAACTGTGTGTTTCCATTGACCGTGCTGGCTCATATTTATGCCCTGTTTGCACTACGGGCGGTGTGTTGTATAGGTGAAAGTAGGTAGTTGCTTTCATTGTATTTCTGTATGTTGTATACTCTCTACCCTATGGGCGGCTACATGTAATTAGGGTGTAATCTTCTGGGGAAGATGATGGTTGTAACAGTTTTACGGGCTGTCGTGGTGGTTTTCCATAAAGTCGCTAGAAGTGTTGACGGTCGGAAAACCTGCGTAACGGCGCGCACTCTATGCGGCGTCATTGCGTCATCGGTTTTCTGGATGTAATACGTGTTTTCTTCTTAATTCAACTTCTTTGGTACTTCTTTATATGCTTGGCGTGTTAAGAGCGTTGTATAGCTTTAACTTATATCGTTCAATGTGCTTGAATAAGTCGTTACAGTGACAAGTTGGTAGCATAAGTAGGTATTCCTATCATTACGGCGGCGCGTGTTTAATAGTTTGGGTTCGCGTGTTGGCGCGTGTATAGATGGCGACACATATTCCGTTATATTTAATTATAATAGCAATTCTGCATCGTTACATTGTCCCCTTTTACATTTATTTTTTTTTTTTTTATTATATGTGTGAAAGAGAAATTTAAAAAAAAAATTAATGTAAACTTTGTATGCTACACATGGATGTCTTTTCCACTGTAGGTCGGTATGCGCTATAGATCCGGAGGATCTGTAAGTAAGTTTTTTTTTTTTACTCATGTTTTCTTATTTTACCTATGTTCGCTATCCATTTCATTTTTTTCTTGGCACGATTGCTAAGTGGTTTTTCTTCTGGATCAGCGGTAATTTCTTCTTCAATGGCACTTTGTTCCGTGTCATTGATGTGTATCTCTAGTTCTGCATCCCTGTTATCGGTTTCGTCTTCAATGGTGATTGCAGTTGTTTGTGTGGTTGGTTGATTTTCTTTTAACACTAGTTTGACAGAGTCTGGTATGGTGAATGTTGGTTCGATGGAATATTGTGTAATTTGTGCTTGTTTTATGCGTAAACATCTGGCTTCTGCTTTTTTTCTCTTCAATTGTCTTTTGTTTTTGTTGTATATCTAGACGTTGTAGTGTTTCATGTGTTTCGCGAGGTTTTCTAATGGATAGTAGTTGATTATCTTCATCTAAATAATCGTTATTAAACAATTCAATCATTAAATAATATAAATGATCATTTAGATGTTCGTTTGCCATGTTGTCGTCCATCTGGAAATATATAAAATTATGTTATGACAATTATGAGGACAAATGACAACATGGTCTTATTGGTGTTTTATTTATAGTCTTGCAGAGGTGTCTTCAGTACTGCTCTTCCCTGGATCTGGGGGCATGTACCGTTTGACATTCTTCATGCTGTGTGTTGATATGATGTTTTGATCATTGCATACTGTGATTGTGTTATTTTGGTTCACTGATTGTATGGTGTATGGTCCCTTGTACAAAAGGAAAAATTTGTGTATCTCTCGGTCTTCTGCGGACGATAGTTTATGTTCCTTTATTAACACTTGTTGTCCCTCTTCATATTTTGGGAATTTTTTATTTTTGTCCTTTTGTTGGTTGCGTTTTTCTGATTGGTGTTTTAACTTGGTTCTTACGATTTCGATTATTCCTTTGTGGTCAGGTAGAATGGTATTCTCTGGGTAGTGAATTTTCTTACTTATGCTAAGGTTTGGTTCAGTACCATGAAGAACCTGTGTTGGAGAAAAACCTGTGGAGTCGTGAGTAGCGTGGTTTATCCAATATTCGATGTTGGTGAGCCATCTTACCCAAGCAGTGTGTTTCTTGTGACAGTAGGTTCTCAACATCCTGCCGATCTCCCTGTTTGCTCTTTCTACCGGGTTGCCTTCTGGATGATACGGAGTTGTATGTAATATTTTCACGTTCATGAGGGTTAGCACATTGTACCATTTGTTGCTGTGAAATTGCGTACCGTTGTCGGTGAGTATGGACTTCATTTTTCCGATCTTTGGTATGTATTCTTGAGTAATGCGCTTGAGGATAGTGTCAGTGGTTGCTTTTCTAAGTGGATATAATTGAATATATTTTGAAAAGATATCTAGTATAGCAAGTATGTATTTCGATCCACCTTGTCCCCTTGGTAATGGTCCCATTAGATCAAGAGAGACGATTTGAAGTGGTTCAGTGGGTAGGATGGTCCCTGTTGGTCCCCTTGCTCCTTGGTTGGCGCATTTTGATTTCTGACATAGGTCACAAGTTTTTATGATTCGCTTGACTGTTCGGTACATGTTAAATAATTGATATTGTCGATGTAGCATTTGGTAAATCTTTAGAGGTCCTAGATGTCCATATTTTTCATGCGTTTCGGTGATATCAAGTTCTAGCATTCGTTGTATTTCTTGGTCGATGCGATTACTTTTTGATACTGGAATGGGGTATGGTTTTTGGTAGATGGGTGTCCCCTCTGTTGTTCGAATTTGACATTCGGATGCAGTGATTTTCCCGGGACGGTCGGAAAAAATGTGTGCGTATTGGTTCATGAGTGTATCGAATTGTTCACTTTCTTCATCATTGATTGCTACTTGATCTTTTTTTTCTTCGTCGCACTCATTGATGGTCATATCTTTTAAGCTTCCCTGTGGTGCAGTAATTTTTGGTAATTTTTTTGAAAACGGGATGAAGTAGATTTGTCCTGATATTTTCATTCTGATCGTGTGATTGTCAAAGTCAATTCGCATGTTGTATTTATTTAGTATATCTGACCCAATAATGCCCCTTTCATTAAGTCCCTCGACTTGTATGAAATTAGACACTATAGTGGCTTCTTTGAATTGACACTGACAGAACACTTGTCTTGAGGTTTTGCATATTTGTTTGCCGACAGCATTACTTATCTTAACTCCGGTGACAGGTAGCTGTGGTATTCGTGGATTTTTCTTAATTATTGTATCAACCACTTCTTTGGTTAACACGCTGATTGTTGCTCCGGTGTCTACCAGTACTTCAATTTCTTCTCCCTCAATGAGGCATTGTATGTATGGACTGAATGACTCACCATTTCCCTCCATTTGATTGATAGTTTGTTCTGGCTCATCACTCTCATTGCTTGTGGTAACTTGATTAATTTGCTGATTGTTTTCTCTTGGTGTGTTTTGATTGTTTTGTCGATTATTCCATCGATTGTTTTGTTGGTAATTGTTGTTTCGGTTGTGGGGCCTGTGACTCCAATTATGTTGTGTCGTTTGTCCCTCTTGATTATTGTTCGGACGATTGTTCTCGTGTTGGTTCTTGTTTTGATGATGGGTGTCATCTTTATGAGGTTGATTTTGTCCTTCTTCGCCTAATATTTTCATTGCTGACAATATTGTTCGTTCTGGCATCGATACCAGGATGGCTCTTAGATAGCCTGGGTAGTGCTTTGCAATATGCTTGACTATTTCCGGCTCTGACAGGTGAGGTACTTCTAGGTGCCTTAGCTTGGTGGCCCATGTTGCGAAGTGTTCCCGAAAATTGGTATTTTGAGGTATGTGTGTAATGCTGAGGCACTGACTCCATACTTGGATTTGGATTTCTCTTGACCAATATTCATCAATAAATGCTTTTCGAAAATCATCATAATCCCTTAATTGAAATCGTATGGTCGAAAACCAGTTGAGTGCGGTTGCTTTCAGGCAATCTCCCACCACGATTATTTTTTCTCCTACATATAATTGTTTAATTGCAAAATATTCGTCTAGACGGTGTAGAAAGTCAACGGGATGCATGTCACGGTTGCTTCCA